AGATGAATCCACTCGAACCAAATGGACCTGGAATAAGATCCACTCGAGCGAAATCGATAGAGAGATGAATCCACTCGAACCAAATCGGTAGCGGGATGAATCCACTCGAACTAAGTGGATAGGGAGATGGATTCAGTCGGGCTTAGTAGACATGAAAAATCGATCCATTTGACTCGAGTGGATAGGAAGATGGATCTACTTGGCACGAATGAATAGGGAGATGGATCCATTTGACTCGAGTGGATAGTTTTGTTTTAGTTTAGTTCAGTTATACCAATTTACCGTCTCCGGTGTAGGGAAAGAATACAAAGAAATTACAAAAAAACAGAAAGATACGAAAAGTGCATTTTTGACGAATGTTCCGTTGGTCGCTACTGAAAGTTGGACTAAGTTATTTGTCAGGATAGCATCCTCTGATAGCAGTTTAAATGATAACCATCATTCCCACAGAGTTCAAGTTCCAATAGGTGATTAAGAATCGTTGTGAGTTGTTTATTTCATTTTGTTCTTTGTATATTAGCTTTGTACACACGCTTTAACGTGTTTCGTAACACCTTGAGACATAAACAATTCGACACATCCAGGACATCGATACTTACCATTGATGTTCTTCGTTCATACTTATATTACGTTTTTCTGTATTATCATATGAATTGCTGCTACAATTCTTCTTCTTCTATCAGTTGCTTGTTGTTTATATTCAAAAAGAATATTTTCTATATTTTGATGAATAGGTTTAATCTGAGTGTTCCGATTGATTGCATCACGCCATAGCTTTCTGTCTAGGCTTTGCTTTCTCCAATTGGTATCATTTAGAATTTTAGCTTCCTATCTTTTTATAATGCTGATGTTTCGGGGTCTTTTCTCTTCAGGAAAATATGCAAATGTAAGCTTTTTTACCATTGATGGCTCATCATTACTGTTCAGCATTCGGTTTGCATGTCCGAAGCACCTCAATCTATTTCTACGTAGGATATTCTCAATTGGTGATTGGCGAGTGATTCCTAATAGTTTTTCATTTGACATTCTATCACCGAGATTTATATCGATAATTCTACGTAGACATTTCATATAAAATGTAGCAATTCTACGTAGACATTTCATATAAAATGTAGCAATTCTACGTAGACATTTCATATAAAATGTAGCAATTCTACGTAGACATTTCATATAAAATGTAGCAATTCTACGTTCATGTTGACCGGTAATTGACCATGTTTCGCTTCCGTAAAGTAAAACCGAGAGAACACAGGCACGAAAAACTCATAGTCTTGATTTAATCGAGATGGTTTTTTGATTGCATATTACATGTCTTAACATATTAAATGCAATGACAGCTTTGGCTAATCTTGTAGTAATTTCGCTATCTGACTTTTGGTCTCTGGTGATGTTGCAACGTAAATACATAAAAGATTCAACAGTTTCTACGTTTTGATTGTGAATTGTAATGTCAATATTAGGAAAGACCACTTCGTTCTGTTTTAAAATCTTTCGATTTTGTTCTTCCGTACACTACTGTAAAGTCATAATGCATGTTTTTTTAACACTCATTGTTAAACCAAATTCATGAGTTACATTTTCAAATGCTCGAATAAATGTTGTTAAATCGGATGCTGTTTCACACATAGCTACAAGATCATCAGCATAAAGTAATGCCAAAATGTTGAAGTTTTCATAGCTTTCTCGTTTTGCGTGAAAGAAATCGTTGCTACCATATGAGAATTTGACACCAGTAACACCGGCTTCTTCTATAACCTTTCTAACGATGAAATCAAATAAAATGTTAAACAGGATTGGTGATGGTATTCCACCTTGTTGAACTCCAGTTTCAATCAAGAAACTATCTGATAATTCACCTTCAATTTTTACCTTTGCCTTTGAGTTCTTATATAACATTTTAAATAGATTAACAAGTTTTTCTGAAATACCATACTTACGGCATACTCTCCACAAAAGATCACGATTAACGGAGTCGTACGCCTTAGTAATGTCAATGAAACACATAAATAATGATTTGTTAAATTCCCTACGTTTTTCCATTGTAATGTTTAATATATGTATTTGGTCCATAGTTGATCTATGTGCTCGAAAACCAGATTGTGCTTCTAAGAGTTGATGATCGATCATATTTTGGATACGGTTCAATATAATACGAGAAAATATTTTGCTTGTCACATTTAATAATGAAATTCCTCTATAATTATCACATATTTGCTTTTCTCCTTTCTTGTATAATCTTATAAGAATAGCTAAATTCCAATCTTGCACCATCACTTCATTCTTCCATATGTCAACAAATATTCCATAGAGCCAGTGAATAACTGGTTCTCCCCCAGCTTTCAATAGGTCGGCTGTTATTTCATCATTACCTGGTGCTTTTCTTGATTTCATTTGAAATAAAGCTTTTCTTACTTCTTCTATTGATGGTGCAGCATTTTGTCTCTTTTCTTCTTCAGATAATGTACCAATTTGAATTTCATCAATAATTTTTTGATCAACTATTGATGGTACGTTAAATAATTCATGAAAATATTCACGCCATCGTTCTAGTCGATCGGATGAGTTTAGAAGTAGATTGCCGTTCCTGTCTTTAATTGGCATATTTTCTACTCGTTTACTTCCACCACGTAAACGTCTTATGATAGAAAAAGCATTTGCTGGATCATTTAGCTTAATAGAGTTTTCTACTTCCTCACAAATTTCGTCCCAATATTCAATTTGACGTGCATCAATTTTCTTCTTAGCTAGTTTTCTAAGTTGTTTGTACTTACTTCTAGTTTTTGCTTCTAATTTGGTTCCACGATGGTTTTGCCAATTTAAGAAAGCTAATGATTTTTGATCAACGATTTGTAATATTTCATCTGTAAGCCATTCTTTTCTCTTTCGATTCGTATTGTTATCTAATTTGAAGTATTTTTCTGCATGTATTTTAAGATGTTCTACGAATAATGAGTATTTTTCGTCAATACCAATTGATTCATTAGATGCTTCAGATAAAGTTCCATTAAGATCACCTTGAAATAATTCTGAGCTTTTATCATCTTTAAATTTAGCACTATCATATTTAATTTTCTTCTGTTTCATTATTTTCTTTCGACTTTTTAAATGTAACTTAATTTTAACCCGCATAAGGTGGTGATCAGTTCCTATGGCACCAGCAGCACTTCTAAGCATTCTTGTATCTTCAATGCTCGACCTGAATTTTTTGTTGATCAATGTGTAGTCAAGCATATGCCAGGTTTTTGTGCCTGGGTGCATCCAGGAAGTTTGGTGAATGATTTTATGCTTGAAGAAAGTGTTCGAAATAACTAGATCATTAATTGCACAGTAATCAATTAAACGTGTTCCATTTTGATTCTCCTTATCCACTGTAAACGGTCCAATGCACTTGTGTAAATTCTGATGTTGTTGTTTTGCTCCTATTCTAGCATTAAAGTCTCCCATAATAATTAACATATCTTCCGTAGAGATTCTGTTTACAGTATCTTGTAAGTCTACGTAAAACTTCTCGCTTTCATCAGCCATCTGTGTATTTGTTGGGTTTACTGGGGAATAAACAGCTATAACAGTCATATTAATTTGAGAACATTTAATTCTGATTTTCAAAATTCTTTCTGATATTGCCTGCCATTCTGATCCTGATTCTTTCCATATTTGTGTGGCTGTCTGATCCAGACAAATTGCCACTCCGTGTGCATTTCTGGTCTTGTTATTAGATGAAAGACCGGAATAAATCATTGTATAATCATTAATTAACTTAATTCCAGAGTCGTATACGCATGTTTCACTAATGGCCGCAATCTGTATACGAAATTTCTTCAGTTGTTTAATGATGAGTTCTTTCTTCGGTTGTTTTGAACATGACCGAACATTCCACCCGCCAAATAGCACATGAGATTGTGCATTGGCACATTTGTTTTTCTTCTTTTCATTAGCAGAGATAGTTTAGAGTCCAACCGAGAGATTGCTAGCCTCAAGGTCAGACGATTGGCTACCGGCAGCCCAGGGTCGCCTTCTCACTGTTTTACAAACTGTGAGCCCCTGTGTGAGTTCGAACACTCACCCGGCAGGCTGGTTCAATTTTGTACCAGGTGATTGGTGCACATTAGGTTTCTGGAATACTAAATTTCAAAGTCGACAAAATCAAGTATGCGAAATCATAGGCATCACGAATAAAACTGAACTAGAAGAGATTTTAGAGTTTAAATTTCAAAGACAAAATCAACTACATAAAATAATGAGTAATAACGAGGATATCAAAAGGTTTAATTCTTCGCACAATAAACTCGAGAAACAATATGATCTATACGAAACGATGCGCAACAAGTTGGAAGTCGAATTAGAAGAAGCAACAGTTGCTAAGCTGCAAACTGAAGTTATCCGGTTGAACCATCTTGAGGGTGTGGGGTGATACGGGTGTGGGTTTGAGTGTCCCTTGTTGATCTAATAAGAACTCCTACACCTACACACACACCCACACCCTCAAGGTTTTGTTGTTTCTAATGTCGTGTAGTTAAGTTCTTCCATTTAAAACAAAATTTCAAGTATATATTAAATAATCATTGAAGTTTCTTTTTATTATTTTTTGTTTCCTTCGTCACTGATTATAAATGTAAAATATGCAGTCTATTTCGATCATTAAAAGTGGATTTGTCGTCTAAAAAATGAAGCCTTAATAGACGCATACTAATGGAAAGAGAAAGAAAAAAAATACAAGAAAGAAAGAAAGAAAGAAAGAAAGAAAGAAAGAGAGAGAGAAAGAAACAGTACCACATCAGTGTTTCTAATAGAAAGTGTACCAAGCATAATCGAAATGTACAGAACACTTGCTCGTCTTGAAATACACGCTCTGATACACTTGCCCCAAAAAATAGAGTGTACGATATACACTTTGTTTAATAAAATAAGACTTTGCTTCTAATTCTGAGAATTTTCAAGAATAATGTAAATTTCAAAAGTTAGGTCTAAACAATGAACATTGTGACCTTTTTTGATACGAATTATCATTCGTATCTTGAATAGATAATTGTACATGCATTTATTGTGTATTTATTCATCTACTACTGTTTAACTGTTCAACGAAAGAAAGGCATGAACATTCTTCTAATTTTTACTCCTTTCTTTTGTGTTAAACGTCAGGTGTGTACACTTTGATACACTTGGCAGACGACAACAAGATGTACACATATCCTTGGCTAAGAAAAATAAAATATACATATACATTTTTTTTTTAGATTTCCATTAGAAACCATGTACCACATCCATTAGTAAAAACAATACATACGAAGAAAATTATTTATTCAAATATGCTTTTATCTTTTAAATAAAAAAGACATAGTTGACAGAACGTAAATGTAATTTTTACTGTTGATGATTGTCGTCTGAAGGACGTTGAACAATAGAAACGAAAAAAAATTTCTTTGTTCCAGCTATTGCCACCATACATTTCTTACATTTCAAACTTTCAGCTGCATCAATTTTTTTTTTACAAAAATTGTATTATATTAGTAAGAGATAAATACTTGACAGTTATCATTTTTTTAAAATAAAACCAATTAATATCAAACCATGAATGCATTAATTGGATGTAATATGATAATTAAGAATAAGAATGTATGTGTCCTATAGTTTTGTTATTTTTCTCATTTTCTACTTCTTCTTTTTTTTAAATCAACAATTAGCAAATACCTTGGAAAGCTGCTATTGAACGGTTGGAATTTAAAAAGCGATCTTGTACAACATTCATTCCAAAAGAGTAAGTACATATAATTATATGAAAATTTTATTAATGAAATATTATTCGATAAATTAGAACAAATAAAAAATGTTGCGTTTGCAATTATACTCATTCAAAAAGTGACGTCCCACATGAAAATGAAGTGTGGAATCGGAAAATACACACAAAGCAAGAAGTTACTAATTGTTATGGAATATTACCTCAATCAACTAGTCCTGTACGTTATATTTTGTTCTCTAATAAAATGATTTCGTTTTCTTTTTTTCTTCTTAATACAGTATTTACGATGTGATGTTGAAACAGACCTTGAACAACTTTGTTTCGTATTGTTGGGTGTATGGGATATGACCATTCCTGGTCTTATCATGCGAATGATAGGCGATATAGATACAACACCAAATATAAAAATAGAGAAAGAACTTTTACAAAGTATTTCTGATGCAGCTGTTGCATCTGGTAAGTAAAAGTGGTATTAACAAAATTCATAAAACAATATTTATTTAGATGCCTGGATTATTACAAATGGATACAAAGAAGAGAGTATTTCAGAATTAGTTGGTGAAGTAATGTACAATTGTCGAATGAATAATTCTCACATAAATTTCAGCGCAATTGCCGTTGGTAAATGGGGGAATATTCATAATCGTCACAAAATTGAGGAGAGGTCTGATGAATTAATTTTTTTTTCTAAATTGAATATTGTTATTTTAGAAATCATAGCACACCGTTTACAATGCAGAAAGGTCATGGACGATATAAGCAAGAATTAAATCATACAGAATACGTATTTTTCGATGATGGTACATGTGATTCATTGGATACAGGAGAATTCGCTTCAAACTTCGCTCGGCAAATATCACGTGGAGCAAGACGAAGAATACCGCTGATTACGATTCTTATCGGCGGTACTCCTCATTCACTTTCATCGATATACACTGATTTGAAAAGATTAGTTCCAGTTGTAGTTGTTAACGTAAGTCATACATATTTAAAAACAAATTTCACTATTGAATTCAATAGGGATGTGGACCATTGGCTGATATATTATATAAATACTTGAAGTTAACCGAAGGTTCTTATAAATTACCCAAAAGTGATGATCATGGTGGAACATTCAATGAATCTGAAGATGATTTGGATATAGCAACAATTAATGAAACATTTGCAGTAGGTGATGATGATGATAAAGAAACTGAAGCTTCATCAACTAAGAAAACGTAAGTTTTATAGAGAAAAATCATTTAATACTAAATATACTATATACAGATTAAAAGAAATGTTGCGATTACTTGGTAAATTTCGTCCCGATTTCGTTAAAGATGTACGAAACCTTTATAATGTTGTACGGCAACAAAATTATGAAACTCAAGGTAAAAGATTACCTGTGGGTGAATTATTAAGTTTGGAGGAAGAAAAAGCTCTTGGAAAATATTTATATCAAATGGCGAGTTGTTTAAATGCTCCTTTTCGAGATAATATTCATATTTTCAATATCGATTCATCAAAACCTCTCAAGGAAACAATTTACTATGCATTTGTTAAAGGTAAATTTTTTACGTAATTCAAAATGAAATAAAATCTCGTTTATCTTAATTAGCACGAGATAATCTTTCACAGACGAAGAAAAAATTTCATAAAACTATCGATGAACAATTACATTTGGCACTTCGATGGAGTATTGGTGATACAACTGAAAATCAATCAGCAACTACTAAAAAGCTTTGGAATGATACCAATAAAGTAGAATGTTACTTTAACTTCTGTTAATGCATTTCTTTTTCATTCTAGATTAAACAAAATCGACTGCTCTTGATTGATGCACTTAGCAAAAATATGCTCATGTTCGTCATGAATTTTATGAAACTTGACATCGATTTTGCCGTTTTATTTCGTTCTAATGATACTCAATCGACAGAAGCTGCTACTCATTGGTCTGATAAATATCATTATTTACAAGAATTATATTCGGATACAAAGCGCAGAAATGTAAGACTAATCTATTATTTGCATTCAATGATTATCTTTTTGTACATAGAATGATCCATTGTATTTATTGGATAAGATCAGTTCGGACTTCACTTTTACAGAACAAAACCATTTAGTAATTGTATTAGAAAAACTTGTAGGTGATTTTATGCGTCCACTGTATGACAGTCAACCAAAAAGAGATGATGATAAAAAGAATACAGATGATAGTACAGAGAATACAGATGATGACACAGAGAATACAGATGATGATATAGACAATACAGATGACGATAAAGAGAATGCAGATGCTGAACATATTTATCGTGATCTCTTTCTTTGGTGTATATTAACCTATCGACTTGATATGGCTAAAATCTTTTTAAGTCAATTAAAAACTCGTATTTGCTCAGCATTGATTGCTTCGAAGATTCTTAAATCATTAGCAACTTATGCACCGGATCAAGTTGCAAAAGATACATTGTTTGCTAAAGCGAATGAATTTGAAACTCATGCTATTGAATTCGTACGATGTGCTTATATTTATGATAAACATGAAGCATGCGAATTGATTATGCGACGTACGAATCTCTATGGAGGTGTAACATGTCTTCAAATGGCTGTTGCTGCAGATAACAAAAGATTTATACATGAAGATGCTTGCCAAGCTTTATTAACGAATATATGGTATGATAAAGTTGATCCTGTTCAAGAACAACAAAGTCTTGTTATTAATATACTTACATTTGGAATTTCTCAATTTTTTATATCGATTTATCTCAAGTATTTTTCCGATTATGCTAGTGTGAAGCCGGAAAGTCATGTAAGTTAATAACATCTACACGATGAATATTATGTCTATTTATTGATAGGTCATTAAACACGAACGTCCAAAACGAGAGTATGTATACAGTAAAACAAACATACAATAACTATTTAAATAAATTTAGATTGAAAAAAAATGGTGTCGATTACACTGATGATTATGGTGTTCATGGAACGATATTTCAGCATTTTTTCCATTTTCACAATCGACCCATTGTTAAATATTGCTATACTTGTGTAAATTCAATTATGTTGAATAGAATTTTTTCTCATATTGCCATATATTCCATTTTAGTTTGGTTATATTCTTTTCCTACTTTTCTTCAGTTATTATATGCTTTTTGCATTCTTTCCATTGTCAAAAGAGCATCCCAATATTCATTGGACTGAAATATTAACTATCATTACTGTAACTACCATGCTCTTTGAAGAAATTCGACAGGTTTGTGTTTTACTCTTTGACTATAATTCTACACGTTTCAAATATTTGACTGAATAGTTATTATCTCAAGACAATCAATCATTAATTGGCAAGATTCGATCATATTTTGATTTGAATAATCGAATATCGAATTTATTTTTGGTTCTACCAGCATATCTTCTATTCTATCTTGGACTTGCACTTCGTTTTACACAAAAAGATACCCAAAGTTTTCTATCTGCACGGTAAACTTTAAGATTAGTTTAATAGTCAAAGTGTTTTTTTTTTGTAGAATAGTGATGGCTTTAGATTTAGAATTATCATTTATTCGTTCGGTTTTATTCATCGGTATTGCTTCACATCTTGGTCCTAAAATTGTGATGATTCGAAAAATGGTAGGTTGATTGTAGTATTATGATTTTGTACCGTCTCATCGTCATTGTAGACCAATGATCTTATTTTATTCATTATCGTCATCGTTATATTTATTTTCGGTTATGGAGTTTCATCAAGATCTATGACAGCTTATGGTAGCATTGATTTCAAAGGTCGAAATATTTTTCGTGATATAGTCTATCCTGTTTATTATTTTGTTCATGGTAGCTTCGATAATGAACGTACACAATTGGAAGGTATAGGAAAACATTTATCTAAATATATTCATTCATTTCTTTCTATAGCTACACCGGATTCTGGTACGACTATAGTCACACAAATCATATTTGCTTTTCATATGCTTTTTGTTAATATACTATTGATTAATTTACTGATTGCTTTATTCAGGTATGTACAATTGAGGGAAAAAAAGATAATATAAATTTTGATTTAGTTTTACAATAAATGATATTCAAACACAAGCACGTTATATTTGGGCGTACGATCGTTGTGACATTATTCGTACTTATCATGCCCGACCAGCGTTGTTTCCTCCATTCACATTTCTCATTTCAATTATGCAATGTTTTCAATGGTGTTGGAGAATATTACACAGAATTCGTAATGCAAATAAAATGCCTTATGAAGAACAATCTCAATGTTTCAGTAAATTATATTTTCAATTAAAAACGTACGTATTTACCTAGTTGTACCTTTTTCTTAGAAATGATCCCAATCAATGATGATGTCGATCATGCGTGGTCAGAATTTGAACGATATTCAACCAATGGTTACATTCGACAATTACTCGATGATCAAGCTACTGTACTTATCAAGGGAACAACTACAGATATTACGTAAGTTAACACTAGCGAGAGTGCAGATATTGTATTGATGATACAAATACGTAGGTCTGAATCTTCATCAAACAATGCTGATGAATTAAAGCGTATCAAAATTCTCGTACTTGATATTCAAAAGGATCTAGAAGACTCAAAAATAGAGAATAACGATAAGTTAGAGTCAATGAAATCTACTATTACTGATCTTCAAACACGCTTTGTTCAAATGGAAACTCGTTGTGATCGATGGATCATGGATATGAAAGAAGTAAGTTTAATCTATTTTTACTTCTCTAACATTACCTATCTAAAATGTGGAAATAGATAACAGCATCAATGAATTGGATAATGATGGCAACGGCAAATGCACAAATGGGTGAATCAGAGCCTCCACTCATTACAGACAAATCAAGTAAGTTGCTCAACATTTGAATTGAGATTAAAGTTTGAAAGTAGCAGGCACGAAATCATAGTTTATTTTTCTTAGAATAGTTAGAACTTAGAAAAACATTCTTTTTATGTCATTATTAGGAACCAGTTCAATTAGTCAAAAGCAATCAAGTGATATTATTTATAATCGATCTAATCAGCAATTAAATAAAGAATATACAACAGCAGGACAACCATTGTTACAACAAGAGCAATCAGCAACACCTGAAGTTCGTATTGAAATGGCTCTTCGAAAAAACAATAATAATGTTGTTTAGAATTTTTACTTATTCAGGAAGAACTATTTACATTCTTTTTTAGCTTTTGTAATAATTTAAATGTTTGTATTCATCTTTTCATAACATGCATTGCTTTTTTAAATGTATCAGAGAGTAGATTTCATCTTTTTTTCCTAAAATGGCTAGAACTAACTAGATCCAATTATTCAAATAGAAAAAACATTTCAGCAAATATTTACTTGTGTCTTCTTCCTGTATTGCATTAATATCGAACTGAATATTTTATATTTCTCAAGAAAGAATGTCTTTTCAATGAGATTCTACTGAGATATTTTAAAATAACAGAAACTCACGAGTAATAATTTTTTCACTGGACAAATGGAATAACATTTATTACCTCACAGTTCATTTGCATTCTTTACTCAGTTGACTTCAGTTCATCAACTTTAGTTCTCATTAGTGATGGCTTCAAGAAAAGTACCCATGTCATCAAAATCGCCAAGGTTTGGGAGATTAATCATGATTTTGCGGGGTGTGGGTGTAGTAATATGCTTAATCTGCAAACCTGAAGCCACACTCCGTTTTTCTTACAACTATAAATAAGAGGAACAAGAAAATTTGAAAGATTAAACGGAAGAATAGAATTGAGGGTGTAAGTGCTAGGTGAATACAGTATCCACACCCACACCCTCAATTTTAGAAAAAAAAATGGATGGAGATGAAAGTTTGAAACGTAAGAAATGCATGGTGACAATAGCAAAAAGAAAAAAGTTTTTCGTTGCTATTTTTCAACGTCCTTCAAATGACAACACTATCAATAGCAAAAAGTGCTTTTACGTTCTGTCAACCATATCTTTTTTCAATAAAAGGTAAAAGCATATTTGAATAAATAATTTTCTTCGTATGTCTTTTTTTTACTAATGGATGTGGTACCGTTTCTTTCTCTCTTTCTTTCTTTCTTGTATTTTTTTTTCTTTCCCTTTCGATTGACATGTGTCTATAAATGCTTCGTTTTATAGACGACAAATCTCGTTTTAATAATCGAAACAGACTACGTATTTTAAATTTAAAGTCAGTGACGAAGAAAACAAAAAGTATTAAAAAGAAACTTGGACGATTATTTAATACATATTCGAAATTTTGTTTTAAATGGAAGAACTTAACTACGCGACATTAGAAACAACAAAACCTAATTATCTCAATCTGCTACAAGAAATCAATAAACTATCAAGTTTATCAACTAATTTGAATAGTATTGATATCACTGAAATAGAGACAATCTTCAACAATATAACTGAGAATATTGATCGAATATTAGATCAAATGGTTTTTCAAAAAAGTTCTATGTTTCTCATTACAACATTAAATATAATTGTACGCATCTCTGCTATCGATGGATCTGATTTGTTTATATTACGACAACCTTTTCAGTTAATGTTTACAAAATTGAATTCTCTGATAGAGTGTATTCGTGAAGAAAAAGATTATTCGCCAGTGATTGCCAGTAACATTCTGGATGCAATACTTCTGAACCTTGTCAAAGATAATTTTATTGAAATATGCTTTCGACAACTTCTTTCAAAAGAGACAGTAACAACTGAAGGTAATAAATTGCAAGGCTCAAACATCATTCAATCTATACATTTCGCTACTTATATTTTGAATTATTTAGATTCTATCGACGCCAATGAAGAATTCTTACAAGAAAAAAGCATTGAATTTCACGATATCATGAACGAATGCCTAATCCATGCTGACTGCTTTGCTATCAAAGTAGTTATTCGGTCGAATAAAGAATTTAGAAACAGTTACAGTTCTCTTATGATCTCTTTCCAAGAATTTATTCATAATTATCTAACAAATACGAATAAACAAGTTTCTGCGCGTGTACTACTTGTAACAGAATCTATTTTAACTCTATTATGGAGTTTGTCGGATAAACTTGCAATAATTTCTATATTTATTGATGTTGGTTACATTCAAAAAATTATCCAATGGATTCGTACAGATTTATTTGCGTCTCATATCAGTGATATTGGTGAACCAATAGTTAACATTGTCTACAATTTGACGAGAGATAAGACAGCTTTAAAGCAGCTTCGTACAGAAAAAGCGTTCAACATTTTGATGGAACTTAAGCAATTAATTTATAATGAAGACAATAACGGTTTGACAGAAAGTTATGGTTGGGCATTGATCGCATTAGCTACAAGTGATGAACAATCGGAAGAAAACAAAAAACTCATTCTTGATACTAGCGAAAATTTATACCAATTATGTAAGAAAACTGATCAAAAAGATGATTTATCATCTGATGAATATCATTTATCGGAATTACTCGAATTATTAGATCGTGCTTTCACAAATACATACGTAATAAAACATATTTTGGAGGATAAGATTAATGAAAAATCAACAGCAATACAATACTTTACAGAACTTTTTCTGTCTCTTTACGGAGTTCTGCTGGATCCAGAACCAGATGAACTAGAGGAACGTGCTGTCAAATGTTTACTTAGAATTCTACTACAGATTTCTAGTTACCCAGAATATCTCAAACGATTAACTGATAATAGTCGGTTTTGTATAATCATAGAAAGTCTTGCTAATCGTCCGAAACACGATGATGCAAAGCGTATTTGGTGTAATATTCAGCAAACTATGTCAACAAACGAACAAAAAAAAGACATGTCATCGAAAATCTATATTAGCTATGATCATACCGACGAAGAGTTTTGTAAAGAATTTGTAAAAGAGTTGCGTAAGAGAACGACGATACCAATTTGGGTTGACTATGAAAAGGTTGATCTGTCTGATGATATGTGGGAATATGTATCTCCAAATATTATATCGGCAACAACGGTTATTATCTTGGCATCAACAGCCTATGGTGAAAATACTGATAAATTTCAAGAATTATCTTACATAATTTCTACTAATAAATCAAGAGATGAAAAGAAAGGCTTAATCGTAGTCGCAGCTAAACCTAATTTCAATTTCAATCGATCTTGGATGAAAGATCTGTTACATGAGAAGACTATAGTTCCATATGAAAATAATATTAGTCATATGGCTTGGAACGTATGTGAACAAATTGGTGTGTTGAAAAAATCACGAATTAAATGTCTAAATTGGCTATTCAAAAATTTACGAAGAGAAACAGCTCAATCCGATGATTTCTCAAACAAAACTTTGAAATTGCTTCCAGAAAATGATAAAGTCTATTATCAAAAGGAATCTTCACAAGTGGACGATAGTACCGATAATTTACTTCCATCAAAAACACATAGCTCACATTCCATTGTTACTTTACTAATGACGCAAACTGGATCCGTTAGTGATTCAATCTGGGTATGAAAACGTAAAATAACACTTCCAGAATTTAAATTAGAGTTGATTTGTATTTTCAAAAAAAAGACATCGAATATCGTTTGTTATTTTAACTTATTTTTACTAGCAACAAAATATATAATCTATGATATACTAGCTCTATGGATTTCAAATACATTCTTGAAATTGTTATGTTCCACGGTCCATTGATTAGAAAATATTCAGATATATTTTCCGTTGTTATAACTTGACTTGGATGTCCATCTTTATGATATTTCTTTCACAAATTTGTTGAGTTGTAAAACATTTGCTTTTAACTTTCTAGCAATAAAAAGATTTAATTTATATACCTATTAAGATATTGATATCAACATTCATATTGCCATTATAAGAAGTGGTATTCCAATATCTGTTGCACTTGTTACATTAAAGTAATTGTTCCTTGCCAAGCACTGTTTTTAAGTCCTATTTGCGCCCATTACAAACAGGCTCAATTTTTAAATTTCAAATTTCTTCAAAAATTATCGAAATGTTTTCATAATCAACGAAGTTTAAATTTATTACTTCTTGTAAGTTATTCAAATTGGGTTGAATAATCTATGCAATATTTTTCAGAGTTTTTCTCTTTCTCGTAGAGAAGAGTCTTGCAAACATAAGTTGTCTACTTACTTGCTCGAAAATTAGGTAAAGATATAAAAAGAATTTTTTATAATGGTTGATCGAACGGTTATCAAGATCGTGGAATTCAAATCTGAAGTCAGTTTTTGAAATTGTTTCAATAAATAGTTTACTAATAGCGAAGACATATCGGTTCTACAAGAAAGAGCTGAGTGAGTCTCCAGGCAAGCGTTACTTGTTATTTAGTTAGGTATAAAAAAAGTAACATAACTAAATGGGATAGTGCTTTTACCCATAAACAAAACTATTTTCAAAAAAAGAATTTTCATTCTTTAACACACTTCCATAGTGATTCAACTATTCATCTACAAAATCATGAGGAATTCTGCAAAACTAGAACAACCATATATGGTTCAACAGTATTGAATATAGAATGTTACTAAGTTCAATACTATCAAATTGAAACTTTTTGGGTGTGGGTGTGGGTGAGGGTGTGTATTCAAGAATATGCTACGACTATATAGTTTCGACCTTTCTCAAGAGTCAAAATCTTCAGGTAGCTTGAGCACTTCATTATTTAATAAAGGAAAGGGGGTAGAGTACTGAAATAATCATCTTTTATTGACTTGGTTGATGGAAATGAAAGAAAATAAATTGTTCTATATATTATGAAGATGGTGTGACCGGATGATATTTTAGTTTAGTTACGAGAATAATTTGATGAGTTGGATTTTTAGTAATACTGAATGACCGATTTAAAACGTGAACTAGATTGTATCTAGAGATGAAGAAGTCAGCTTCTCACAAGTTAATAAAACTGCTGATTTACTGTTACGTGCGGGTGGTATTTGCATTGTTGTATATTGCAGTCATGTTGAACGTTTTAAGAATATCGTGGAAATATGTTGGTGTTAGGTTTTATTGTGGTATCATTGATATGGACGCGGTAATTGTTGAAAGCTTTTTGTTTTAGTAATCTAGAAAAAGAGTAAAGAAAAGGTATGTTTTTGAAATATGTTTGTATAATTGTGTGGTATCATTTGGAAGTGGGAGAAGAGGACGAAATAAATGTGTTTGGGCTTTAGTGATTTGGTGTTGGTGAAAGTAAGGAGATACAAATTGAGGGTGTGGGTGTGGGTGTGGGTGTGGGTGTGGGTGTGGGTGTGGGTGTGGGTGTGTGGGTGTGGGTGGGTGTGGGTGTGGGTGGGTGGGTGTGGGTGGCTAGGGTGTGGGTGTGTATAAATCTGTTAATTCAAGAGTCAATAAATTTAAGCAAATATATCTCTTATCCACGGAAATCTGAATGATTTTCGATAAAATGCAACCACATGGACATGTCTAAATAAGTACGAAAGACTTATAAAGAAAGATCATGAAATCAGAGCAGGACTCGAACCTACAGCTTCCGATAACCGGTCTGGTCGAATATATTGAGAGGTGCCATTGATTGAAGATATGGTTAGTATTTGAAATCTTTAAGGTCAATTCAGATTCATGTGTTATGCATTTTGAAATGCTGGTGTTATCGACGTACAGCATACCAGAGCTCATATTAGCCGTCTCCCATTGACGTTGACACCCGACACTACGTGGAAGTTATGAGTTGGCTTTTGTCGGGCATAAAAAGAAAACGTTTATAGTTACCTTGAGCACTTAGATATACCGAACTTGTAAATCATGTGGATATGTTTTGAATTTTCGTTTTATTGTTCAAATATATACAATAGATAAAGCACACACTGAACATATCCGAAAATCCAAGACAGGTTAAACGGAATATATAGAGAAATGACTAGAAAAGAAAAAGAAGAAGAGAAGGAAGAAGGAGAAAAATGTTATTTTTGTGGTATCATTGCACGGAAATCGTGGAAATTATCGATTCTATTGAAAATAGAAAAGAAAATCAATAAGCGATAATTTAGATACAAGTTTTCTTTTGTGATAAATGCTGATCACACTTACGTTTCATCGATGATTCGGATAATTTTCTTGTTTGGATGGATTGGGCTAGAATCCATTCGAAGATCTATCACCCCAGCGACACGTATAATTAATGATGGATCATGTTCATCGATGAATGGATCTAATCCCATATCAATCGGTCGACGAGAGAATGGGAGAAGAAACTAAATTCAGAAGAATGAATATAAATACTTGAAGATGAGAGATATTCCTCAATCTATGTCAAGTAGCAATTCTTTTTACCTTTTTTTCTTTTGATAAGACGACATGAAGAAGAAAATCCTTTTTACAGATAATTTCTTGTATCTAAATACAGGAAAGATAGACACAGATGTTTATGAGTAATTAAAAACAGTTGCAAGTAGATATACGTACCTGTCGCTGTTCTTCCTCAGCAATAGTTATTCGTTCAGCAGAATACTTTTTCGGAGATGTCATTTTAGAATATTTTATAATAAAAATAATAATTATAATCTAGAACATAAAAATAGAAATCATAAGTATTATGTCTACATCTTAATGAAATGCTTTAGATCTTCGACATATGTGTATGCTTTTAGAATTGTTCAAAGGTCGTGCATAGTTTTTGTCTATCTAGGTCATTCCTGTCGATGATATATTCCACTGTTATCCATCTTTGTCCTGATCTGTATCGAAATTACGAGATGGCTTTTATTGATTATAAAAAGTGGCATACAATACACAATAATTTTCTGTTTAAAATATTGATGTCTAGTTTCGGCCTTGCTCAAGGGCCTCTTCAGGTGGCTTTATGTCATATATATGTCAAATGTATCATTTATAAATGATCATTATAAATAAGTATTTATTACATATATGATTTTAGATTAGTCTATTAACAAGAGCTACCACGACCAGATATTATTTACAAATAACCGCGCATTTATCAGATATAATCATTCAACGTTTCAAACGCTAAAAATCTGAATACAGGCTCTTCATGACAAAGAAGGGAGGTCAATAAGCGATAAAATCGACCTCTTCCAAAATTTTGCTGTGTTTTCTGGTAAGTGATAATTCAAATATTATATGATTTCCATTATAGTTCGCTTTATGAAGCATATTGTGTACATTTTGTTACCGGTTTCGACCTTGCTCATAGGTCTCATCAGATGGCTTTGTTCGATTACTGGACTAGCAGTATACCCAAGGGGGAAACAGCTGATTATTTGATTAGCAGTGATTAATAGTGATTAATAGTGATTAATAGTGATTAACAGTGATTAGCAGTGATTATTATTTCTTAGTAATGATGGGTGGATGTAGGTGTCATTATTATTTTTATTCACACATCCACCCCGTCTCTTAATAATGGTTAGGCGTGATTAGGACTTGATTAGGAGTGATTAGGATTTGATTAGGAGTGATTAAGATTGATTAGGTGTGATTATGAGTGATTAGATGTGATTAGCGGTTTCCTAATCAGCTGTTTCCCCCTTGAGTATACCCCTGTATTTCATTGGGTATTTTATACTGATACCAGTTAATCGGAGCTACCATGACCGGTTTTCGTTTACAGTCAGTGTTGTTAATATATTTCTTACGCATTTTTATTCTCAATAGGCTGTCCCAAGAATGTGACGTTCGGATATTGTGTGTCAATGTTTTGTATGAAAATATTGAAGTATAAAGGATCAGTAGACAAGAACTGTTTCTGTAAACATAGGGTTATGAGAAAAACCGGCCGGTTCTATCAACCTTTGACACTCTTGTCTTCACCTTGCTCGCTAGCTGCTCTGAATTAAATGTTGTTTTATTTTCGTTGCTGTTTGACTTCTAATTTCTGCTGTTATCTATGTTTTGTTGGATTAAGTCTCGATTATTCTAACGATCAAGAAGACAAAGTAATGACTAGAATGATATTTTCATTTTCATGTGAACATATGAGATATACAATACCAAAATTTAGATGTAGATGAAATTAAACGAAATTTATCTAAAATGAGAAAACAAACTTCGAATATCAATTATCTAACTAGAGTTCTTTAAATGAATATCTGTTCCTGTTTTTGTCTTGTTTTATTCAATAAAATCAATCAAATAGATACAATCAGGATATCAAAAAGGAAAGTTTATTCCATAATTGACCATTTGATTCGACTTGTTGAAATACTTTCTTTCAGTTGGAGTTGTCGAAATCGAAGCTAATCTTTTTGCTTCTTCCCTTGCTTCCTGTTCACTTTGTTCAGCTCTTTGTTGAGCATTACCAACATTCATCTAAATGATAACAACATTGAATTAGTTTCAAGATTCTCCTAGTGTCACTTGTCGTTTCTCATACCCACGCCCATGGAAGCTCTTCTTCCATGTACACATTGATGTACCAATCAATATAATCCTCTAATAACCGAGGATTACATAATCGTGGATTTGGTGGTGTTAAGCCAAAGTATCGTCGATACATTGGTGAGTAAAAGAATTGACTATTGGCCGTGACCAATGGAGTCTCCTGCATATCAAAAAATATATACAAAAGTTTAATATTCGAATTTATGCGAATTAGAAATTGATCTTACATTTTCACCTTGTTTTGACGAGGCACCACCTGATAAAGTTGGATCAGGTGATGTTCCTTGTCTTTTTGGCAATTCTTCGTGCCGTTTTAAGGCACTAGACGATCGATTACCTAATGTATGAGATGAATTAAGTTGTGTATCATCATCTGTTGTATTGCCTGTGGTATCAATTGTTGTTCTTCTTTTTGGTAAGATTCCATCTAGAAGTCTTTTTATAATAGGCTTCTTTTGAGAACTTTTCTTGCGACTAGGCATCTTTGATGTTTAGAATTTCTACTTAAATCTACAATATAAAGCAAATACATTGAAGTCTTAGACAACTCGTTGCATATAAATGATTTTATTATATATGAAGTTAAAAATATATTAGAAAAGCTTATATATAAGATCAATATGAGTATGAAGAGGAAACTGTTTATTTAGATCTATTTTTTATGTTCAGTTTCTTGTTTTAATACGATCTTGGATGGTGGCGAAGACAACAATGGTTCCATTTTAGTTAATAACGATGCAGGTGGCTTCTTACGAACAAGCAAATCGTTCAATGATGGATTATTCAGTGCTGTTATCATTGTACGCGCATTTTTGACAACTGACTCTTTGTAGACATAATATTTTGTCCATAACTTTCGAAATTCTCGTCTAAAATTCGTTGATGGACCACTTTCATATGTATGTGATAACATTAGAATCTTTCTGTTCCATTGTTTATCTACTAATATATCATTCCCGTCTGTTGTTTGCCGTTGATATTTCTTTTCACGTCGTGTCGGTAAATGTAATAACTTTTGATGCAACATTTGATATTTGTGTACATCTAATTCAGTGCATACTTCTAATACTTGATTTAAGCGAAAAAATCGTTTAAAATGATATTTAAGAAATTGTGGTGGATAACCATTTAATAAAAGCTTAATTTCAATGTCCAATCGTTCCTTATCGAATGCGTACACCTCTGAACATAACCGAGCAGCTTGTAATAATGCTTCATACGGTATATTCATATGTATATGACGACGATGATCAGATGAATATGGTAATATGTACGGTTCAGCAGCTGGTTTTCGATAGACTGATGTTTTCAATAATCCATGATAATTCTCAATTTGAACATCAAGAAATTCAACCTTGAGACCAACCGAATATGTAATTTGTATATGTTTACGATCCTTTTGATTCATCCAGTCAAGTTTATCATGAATAACATCAGTCGACATATTTGATGTCATGAATACATCATCGATGTATCTACAAAAGAGCATCAAATCTTTTCTATATACATACATATATACATATCTTACCTTCCATAGATTTCTCCTTGTTGCGATTGTAATTCAATTACCCAGGTCAACACTTACGACGATCGTAAACGACAGCAAAAGACCGTACCCGATGACGAAAACGACCATTAAACGACTTATTTACGACCGTTTACGACGAGTTACGGAACCGTTTGGTATCCGCAGTATTACGGTCGTATATCGTCGTGGTCGTAAACGATCGTATACGATCATCGTTTACGGCGGAGTACACAACGATGAAATCCCCAATGAAATCTCCAGAAATCTTCGAAAAATCCCCTGAAATCAATGAGAAATCCCAAGAAATCTCAAAAAAATCCTACGAAATCACAAACACC